CCAGGACGGATCCCGACATTACTGTCTGGATCCGCCCAGCTGCGTGAGTGACAGCTGGCTCTGCCTATCTAGAGGCAGAGCCAGCTGTACCCGCCCCCTCCCGTTCCTCCAGTCTTCGCTGGAGGATCAGAGCGGGGAGAGGGGAATCCCTGCTGGGAGCCATGAGTGACAGTCACAGCTCTCTGCAGGGACAGGATCGAGGAGTGAGGGAGCGACGGTATGCGTTTGCTCACTTCCCGATCTATTGAGCCGACCTGTGACCGTATTATTGTCACAGGTCGGCTAGAACTATGAGGCTGAGTGATTTTCACTTGCCTCATAGTTCTCCTTTAAATATAAAGTGACTCATGTGGTTATACTTTAAACTGAATGCACACAGCAAAAAAAAAAAAAAACACATGGAAATCATTTCAGGCCACATACCTTTGGCCCCATCGTTACTGCAACAGCATCTGCTAGAAGGTCAACACCTTGCAACAGAAGTGCTCTGGCCTCAGCGCCGAACTTCACATCTTTAGCATAGGCTCGATTCAGACGAGGCACCAGGGTCCGAGATACTGGTCGCACATGGCGAAGCACGGTTGGCAAACGCAACATTTCCAAAAAGTCTAGAAAAAAAAAAAAAGAAAAAAAAAAAATTGTACAGAAAAACCAAGTACAGAAGAAAAAAAAAATAGGAAAATCAAACCTTCACAATAGATCATTAAGTGTATTAAGGCAACCATACACGTATCAATTTGTAACCAATCTCGGTACAACCAATTAGAAACAAGTGATCATCACCATCAATTAAAATACTGGATACAATGATACAACACATTGTGTTTTCAGTCAATCTGAAGAATGTTTTAGGAATGATCATTTAAATCAACCTATTTTTTGATCAGATCTCTGACCCACAGATATTCTTCACCCATCAAATCTGAAGGACATTGCATGGGTTTTGATGTGTGTTGCAGTAGGGCTGCATACAACCAAGTCACCCTCAAATTTGTGATTTTTAAAAATCATAGCACAATAGGTAACCATGTAATTTATTTAGTATTACAGGCATAGATTTATAGGGCCAGAAATGTACACAGCGCACATTCACATCAGTCCATGCCCTCAAGGAGTTTACAATCCAAGGTCCCTATCGCACATGCACAAAGGGCCGATTTGGCCAGGAACCTTCCAGCATGTCTTTGGAGCGTGGGAGGAAACCCATGCAAGCACAGGGAGAACACGCACATGATCGGGATTTGAACCAGGGACCCCCAGTGCTGTAAGGCAGAAGTGCCAACCACTGTGCTGCATCAATGTAACATACATGTAATGGCTACACGTGTTGGAGTACCATGAAAAAAACAATACATACCTAACATTGCAAAATGCAATCTCTAAAATCCCACCACAACCAATCAACTTGTGAGCGCTGAAATCAATCAAATGCTCACAAAGTGAACCGGATGGAGAGATTGTGCTTTACAATTGTTATTCAATCATTCTAGTTGTATCACAACGATTGATAGAACAGAATAGGAGTATCAGGGGTAATCACAGAAGTGGCCAGGCATTGAAGTAGTTCAATATTAGTGTATAATGTCATTTACAGGCCCACACTACCAGGTGTTCATTTGCATGCAAGGAACATGTAGGATTTAAAGGCACAGAAAAGAGTAGAGCATGACATAACGAAGACTCTACAAAGCAGATACAAGTATGGAATTTGCCCATCCCTTTACATCACAAATAAACGGCAGAAAACCAACGTCCGCTACATTGTCTCTCAGCATGTCCCCTTTGTTAGGACCTGTCTCCCCCTCCGCCTACCTGTACGGTGCCTGAGCAGAGCCGGCGATGTCACACACGTGTCTCACACTGAATGAGAGAGCGCTGCAACACTCTGAAATATCCGACCTCCTGCCTAAGTCACGTGTGCCCGTCAGTCTAGAACACCGCCTCACCCCGGAACCTGTATACCCGCAGCCCTATGCCTTCTACTACACCGGACACTTCCCAACAACGACACATCCGCTCCCGACTATGCCGCATGCGGATTTCGGGGCTGGACTTCCAGAAGTTTCTGGAACTGCCTTACATTTTCAAGGTCGGAGGTACAGTGGCCTTCAACCCGGATGCTATCGTAAGAGCGCTCTCGGATTTCTCCTTTGATGATTTTTCTTTGCTAATTTGGGTTCACCGTTTAGAGGCGCCGTGAATTCCACGCGGGGTCTTGTCATACAAGTGACAATTTAGAACGTCCTGGGTGACATTGAAACTGCGGCACGCCCCCTTCGGGTCGCGCATGCGCGCTCAGTGATTTGTATTCACGTGCGGAGCCGGGGAAATCTCTCAGTCCAGCATTGCCATTGTCAGAGAGGGGTGAGAAAGACGTTATTCGTTATGGTAAGTAGGGTGATCGGCGGTTCTTTATATTCTGCTTTTTGTGCATGAGCAGTGAGATATGATAACATCATTCTAAGGCTTCAAAAACTCTCTTTCTAAGTTCATATTAATACCTATAGTTTGCCTCCATTGGAGATAGGCCAAAGGAAGACCCCCAAAATACAAAAATGAGTAAAAAGGCAAATAATGAGTGTCCCTTACAATTTACAGCTGGCATCTATATTTTTTATCCTCTAGTTGTTTGTCAATGGACCTAGTGCATAACTATTTCCTGCTGGCTCCTGGATTGGACAGCATGGCTTTTAAATGACATATTGTATTGACCCCCCCCCCAAGGTGACACTATGCTCAGGCATTAAAAGAGAACTATGAAGTAACCTTTTTATCCCATAGTTCTCTTTAGGGACACGGGAGGACATATACTAACGTCCTCCCGTGAGCCAAAGATCAGTATATAGCCGGCTATTGCCAGCTATATGCTGAGAGCGCTGCAGTTGGGATGGATCCTGACAATACTCCCTGGTTACACCCAGCTGTGTGAGTTACAGTGGGTTCTGCCTATCTGCAGGCAGAGCCAGCTGTGCCCGCCCCCTCCCCTGTCCGTTCCTCCAGTGAGTGCTGGAGAATCAGAGAGGGGAAGGGGAATCCCTGCTGGGAATGGTGACTGCTCCATGCAGGGTGATGATCGGGAAGTGAGCGAGCGATGAAATGTGTTCACTCACTTCCCGATCTATAGTCAACTTGTGACTAGTGATGGGCTTGGGCGTGTTCGCAGCTCCACATGCCGAGCCCGCCAGGAAGCTGGCAGCGCCAATCACGGGTACTGAGACATTTTCCCGGTCCGCAGCTGCAGAGATCGGGAAATGTCTCCGTACCTGTGATTGGCGCTGCTGCTCTGTCAGCTTCCTGGCGGGCTTGGCACGTGGAGCTGCGAACATGCCCGAGCCCATCACTACTTGTGACAGTTTCAATGTCACATGCCGGCTCTAATTATGAGGATGAGTGGAAATTGCTCACCTCATAGTTCCCCTAAGTCACCTTTCCAAGATTGCTTCTGTCATGGACTACAATCTCAATACAAATTGGTAAACTAAACATGTGATTGTAGTCCACCATGGGAGTGAGCTTGGAGCGGTGGCTACTTTACAACACACACAGGGTCCATGGGGAACAAAAGTAGCCACCCTCCAAAAGGAAGGACGGTGTAGGCATGTATAAGTGATGATTTGAGGATCTATATCTGAGTGATACACAAATAAGATACATTTTTGTTACTAGTTAAGGTATTTAAATGCACTTTTAAAACTTAAAGGAGAACTATGAGGTTCATAGTTCGAGCTGACGTGTGACAATAAAACTGCCACGCTGGCTCAATAGATCGGGAAGTGAGCGAACACATACCGTCGCTCGCTTACTTCTCGATCATCTCCCTGCAGAGAGCAGTGACTGCCACTCACGGCTCCCTGCAGGAATTCTCCCCGCTCCGATGTTCCAGTGCTGACTGGCGGAACGGACGGGGGAGGGGCGGGTACAGCTGGCCCTGCCTCCTAGATAGGCAGAGCCAGCTTTCAATCACGCAGCTGGGTGGATCTGGACAGTAATGTCGGGCTCCGTCCCGGCTGCAGTGGTCTTAGTATATAGAGGGCTGTAGCTCATGATATACTGAGCTTTGGGTCGCAGGAGGACGCTAGTTTGTCCCTTAGAACGATGGGGAAAAGCACTGACCCCATAGTTCTCCTTTAACTCCTGAGTTTAGTGTCACTTTAGTGGCTGAGTTTATTATGGGAGATGAAAGTACCCCCCCAGAGCTCCACAGCTGCCATTATAGAGTCCACTGCGTGGGCTCTGTCCCTTTTGCACATGTGCACTGGAATTTCCAGTCATTCCTATGAAAATGTCGGCCACCATTCAGAGAAATAAATAGCCAACCTTTCTGTAGCAATGAATGGAGAGTGCAAGCACAGAAGTGGAGTCTGGTTGGAAGATTCAGGCAAGTGATAACTACTAAAATGGAGTGCTGGTTACAAAAATAATATTTTGGACTCCTATTGGTTTACAGGCAGCAATAAAAAAAAAACAAAAAACCCAACATTTCCTTTTGCCCACGCTATACAAAACTAGAAAATCACTTTAGTTCTAATCTAAAGTAAAACTTTGCATTTTCACACTGGTTACAAAAGCCCCATCCCTGGCTTCAGTTCCAATACCACCACAAACAGTTTTTGCATTGAATAGCTCTGCACAGACCACACAGCTAAATGCAACTGATTTATGAAGAATAGGTATTGGGACTTGGGGGATGTTAGTAAGGTGTAAGGGAACACTTTCATATCTGGTCACGATAAAAGTGCAGTTACACTGTAGGTTGCATTGACATGCCACTTTTCCCTCCTGTTGAAGATTGTAGATAGATTTACAGGCCTCAGTTGCTTAAAACTTTGTTACCTTATCTTGCCCATGGCTGGGCAACATTCACATCATGCAGCAACCTGTGTGGCCCAGCCAAAGATATTAAATGCTGGCTTATGGACCAGTAAGGCACATATGCCTGAGATGACCATTAACCTCTATGAGGAAAGGGCATGCTTGAGGAGTTGGGAGACCATCTAGCTGGGTAAGGAGATATCATTGTCTGTATTTGTGGCCTGTGTATTCATTTGCAGTTTTCATTAGGTGGGGGATGGGTATTTATCATTTTAATTCCAGTCATTCACAAATTGATGTAGTGAATTCCACCTTATAAATGAAGATGCCTGTAATTTAGCTGGATTTTATTGGCAGTGTGTCATTCAAGGTCATTGAAGGTCACAGAGCTGTAACTGCAGCTGTATTGTGTAGGATAGTCTTGTTCATCTTTCTCTCTTTCTCTTCCTCGGCAACAACCTGAGATTGGTTCCTCCCTCTACAGGGAACACAAGCAGAACAATACAATACAACAATAGCGACTCACCTGCTTTTCTCCTGGTCTCAGAGGGTACCCCTTTTGTTTTTACAGAAACTTGGCCCACCTATGATGGTGTGAGCTGACACCTGAAGCCCACTGCTTTGTGTAGCCTGTCCCCCTCTTCCCCCTTAGGGAGTTTTGAGCATGGTCTACAATGCTGGTGGTTCTGGCGGCAGAGACAGTGTTTCCTGAAGATTGCAGCCTAGTGGGCAGAGCACCTTCTGGGATTCGTGTCCAGCCCAAATCTCAATTTGGGAGTGTGTTGCCTTCGGTTTCCTTGCCATCTCCTCACAGTGACCCTTTTTTCACGGTTGCTTAGGAGGTGGATGATGCGGATGCTAATTTAGCTTTTGATGACCTTGTAGAAGACTTAGGAGGCTTTAGAACCTTGTAGTAAAGCAGGGGAAGATGCCTGATCATCCAGGCATTTTATTTAGGTTAGACAAAATAACATTTCCCTTCAGGGCAGGTTCACACCATTTTCTGGACCAGATCTGGAACACAGTGCATTGCAATTTACCCTGTTCTGGAGCGGTTTGTTATTTTTTTCTTGTTTTGTTTTTAGCTTAAAATTGGCTTTCAGGTGGGTTCTAGTGCGTTTGTATTCGTCTCTATTTGTTCCAGTGCATTCCAGACTAGCCAAAATAGGACAAGCAGTATTTTTCTGGTCTGGAGCGGACTGCGCTGGTGTGAAAAGAGGCCAAAGATAGCATAGGGATACATTAGGATGCATTTTGGGTCCGGAAACAATCTTGTCTGGTCGAGATGGTAATCGATGTGATGTGAATGGGCCCTTAAAGTGACATTAAACCCTCAGATTTTTTTAACATAAACCAATACTGTAATGTGTGCCTTACTGTAATCCATGGTTGTTTCCCTTCTCTTTGCTGCTCTTCCTTTTAAATCCTCATGTCTTCTCATGCTGGGGGAGAACTTCCCTTTTCAGCTCAGGGCCTCTTCCTGTAGTGCTGGCTCAGATTACAAGCCTATGCAAACGGATACACAGACACCGTGTATCTATTCCTGAGACAAGGCAGTCTGCTGCAAAACAGAAGTTCTGCAGAGCATGAGAACAGATACAGATTTAAAAGGAAGAGCAGCAAAGAGAAGGGAAACAACCATGGATTACAGTAAGGTACATATTACAGTTATGTTTTATGTTGAAAAATCTCAGGGTTTAATGTCACTTTAAGAAGAATTTTGTGTCCAAAACTTGATGCTGCCTTTTCACAGGTCTCTAACAATGCAGACCTCTCCTTTTGAGAATTTCGACAACATTAAGGATTGCAAAGCTGAGGCAGTGCGGAGGAAAACCAGTTGTACCAACTCTCTCTAGCCATGGCCCCTGCTTTATCAGCATCATTCGTGCCTAGAAATGTTCATCTCTAGCCAGCTGATACTAGTCATTTGCCCCATGGTGCTCTAGCTATGCAGGTACTAGATTCTCTTATCAGTGGTAGGTAAGGCTGTGGATTAGCTCCATTTTTTTTTTAAATTCCGCCAGTAGAGCTATCTGGCCAAAATCATGGAGTAAGTACCAAGAGCAGCAGAAATGGCCCTTTTAATAACACCATAATGATGAAGCCACTGTGTGGCCCAGTGAAGGCAGTTCAATCCAGTATCAGAAGAACATCTTTCAAGGATTTTACCCCCACGTGTTTCTAGTTTAAAACCAGTTGAAGTTCAGGATGGTCATAAATTTTAAAGATGCTAAACAGGTTCCTTGAATGCAAGAAGTGTGGGATAGAGAACGGTTGCATGTCTGCAAGACTATCCTAAGAAGTCTTTATGATCACCTCAGATGCACAGGATGCTTACTCGCATGTCTGCATTCATCAGGTGCATCAGAAATTTCTGTTTCGGGGTACTGACAGAACAGATGATTTGTCACTGGCACTTCCATGCCTTGCCCTTAAATCTCTTGTCAGGATTCTAAGACCACTTATGTTTCACCTCATCAAAGGATTTCTCTTTCATTATGTGGATGAAGAGAAGGTGGTAGCAGGGCCACAAGTGGTGTTCCTCACTTTGGAAACACGAGGTTGACTGTTCAACAAAGAAACATCTTCATTGACTCTAACTCAAGACTAGAATCTTTGTGGGCTACCAGATCAGCTTGGTGGCTCAGAATATCTTTCTGACAAACTAAAAGATCTCCAAGATCCTGATGATGACCAATCAAGAAAACCTAAGAGTCATTATTAGACCTAAGAGCTTCTTCGATTCCAGGTTTAGGGCCGGTTCACACCACAAAGGCTGCGTTTCAGAGCGTTCGGCCTCTGGAACGCAAGCCGGTTGACTCCCTGCGTTCAGGGGCGGGAGGAAGTCAGTGGCACCACAGTCACGCCCCCCACCCGCAGTGCGATCGCTCACACCCGGAACACAGGCACATCAGTGTTTGCGTTCTGGTCCAGTGCGATCTGCAAAAATAGTGCTTGCAGTTCCGCACTTCGGTTGGGGGGCATGGCTACGGTGCCCTTGACTTCAATGCAATGCCACGCCCTTCCCACCCCTGAACGCAAGTAGCCGGCCGGTTTGCGTTCCAGAGGTTAAACGCTGTGGAACGCAGACTTTGTAGTGTGAACCGGCCTTCAACATGTACCTAGTTACACTCAAGGACCCTTTAAGTTGGGTACACACGGAGCAAATTCTGTCTGATTCAGTAGGAATCGGCCAAAATTTGTTCCATTGGTGACCCTAGCCCCTCGACAGAAGCTGATCATTAGATGGACTTTTGCTGAAGCAATATGTTGGAAATTCCAACACTGAATGGTGCTTGCAGCCACACACATTTTTTATGTGTGTGTGTGTGTATACAGTGGTACCTCGGTTCACGAACTTATTCATTCCACGATTCTAGTCGCGAACCAAATTGGTTGCAAACCGAATCAAACTGTGATCAGAACGCGATCTCGACTAGAGGAAGCCACGACCAGTGTCAGAGCAGGGAAGATGGCTGCGGTTGTGTTTTAATCACCCGATGCAGAGTTTGCGGACGGAAGCAAAATTTTGCGGAACTTCCTGTTCTCCAACTGAAGTGTTCGTGAACCGAGGTACCACTGTAACTCCCGTCACCCTAGGCTCAGTATACCGTGAGATACAGTTCCCGGTATACTGAGACGCTGAAGCGGATCCTGACAATTATGTCTGGATCCGCCCAGCTGCGTGAGTGACAGCTGGCTCTGCCTATCTAGAGGCAGAGCCAGCTGTATCCTCCCTTGTCCGTTCCTCCAGTCAGCGCTGGCGGATCGGAGCGGGGAGGGGTGAATACAGCCCCTCCCCTGTTACGGCAGAGAGCCGTGACAGGATCGAGAGGTGAGCGAACGCCGGTATGTGTTCGCTCACTTCCCGATCTACTGAGCCGACCTGTGACAGTCTCATTGTCACAGGTCGGCTAGAACTATGAGGTGAGTGAAAAGCACTCACCTCATAGGTCTCCTTTAATCGGTAGACATATTGTTGTGCAAGCAAATGTCAGCAGATTCTATAGCTTTCACCATGGCATGTTTGTGCTTTGTTTAACTGATCGGTTCTGTGATTGCCTAATATGCAAATGCTGCTGTTGCCTTTCCGATCTGCTGCACTGGCTTCTGTGTCTACCAAGGACACTGTCTGCATGGACTTTGTATGTCTGTTTTATACCGGTTTTATAACCGGTATAAAACACGCGCACACACACACACACTATCAAACACACTTTTTTTTTGGTGTGTAACAGGGTTCTTAGATTGTAAGCTCCTCTAGGGTAGGGACTGATAAAAAAATGCTAGAATGGCATTGTATAAATTTAGGGAATAAGTACAAGTCGTAGTTCACATAGCATGATCTTGTGACCTGTTCACAAAACATTGTGAAAGACAAATATTTGTAGATGTAAATGTGTAGAGTGTTATAAATATATTAGACTTCACCAGTCACCAACTGCGTAATTTGAAAGTGAACTAAATTGCACAAATCATTACTGCCTTCTGCAGTGTATTATGTAAACTAGGGATGCACCGATATATCGGCGCCTAAACATATCGGCCGAAAATGGCACTTTTGGCAAAATGCCGAAAGAGCCATGTTTCGGCCGATACATCGGCGCATCCCTGCTTTCTTTTCTCCCCGCTGGGCGCTGCTCTGTGTTCCAGCGGGGAGAAAAGAAAGTGACAGCCGGCCGAGCGCTGTGAGTGGCCGGCGTCTCTCCTCCCACACCGCTCAGCTGCCTATCATAGTCCGGCAGAGCGGTGTGGGGGCGGAGACAGCGCTGTCACAGGAGGCTGGGCTCTCCTCCCACACCGCGCAATCAGCCTCCTGTGACAGCGTGTCAGAGGAAAGCAAGGTACACACACTCAGCGATCAGTGACAATTTTTTTTATTTCAGTTTTAAAATGTCCATTTCGGTGCACCTCTAATGTAAACATCCAATTTATTTAAATAATGAAAATATGTATGCTGTAAGATCTGTTTTGTGAAGTAGTAAATGTCGAAAAGATGTAATAAATTGGCCAAAAATCATTATAAATGTAATTTAATGAAGACTTTGTCGGGGAAAGCCAAATGACTACAGCAGTGTCAGCATTCAGACATTGCAATGCACTCACATTTTGGTACTTTTATGCTTGGATGTGGTGTGCCAGCTGGGATACTGAGGGGGTTTTTTTGGCATGGCTTTCCTAAAGCATAACACCTTCCAGAAATGAGAAGTGACTGTGCACAGACCTGGATCCATCATGTCTGCATCTATGCCTGTCTGCGGCTGTCAAAACTCAGAGCTGCGGGGATGGCGCAAAACTCCTGCGCCTCTATAGCGTTTTATGAGCTGCCCGCCTACTTCTTCCTGCAGCTGGCTCATCAAAAACCAGCCCTTCACACCTTATGTGAATGAGGCCTTAAGTGTTGATGGAGGAATCTGCTCTATTTTTCTCATTCAGCCCGCAGGTTGAACAAGGAAAATAGATGTGTATTGCCACCTTCGTTTTGTAGAATGCCTCTTTTCCACACTATACAAGTTATGCATTATCAGATGCCTAGTTTCATATGTGTATGATTCCTGGGATGGAAGGGGTGACATTTTCCCATGAGCTGCTTGGTCTACTTCTAGGGCTATCGTTTGACATTGACTGTTGCCTTAGAGATGGTGAAGAGAGACCTTGTTATCTAGCTGATAGAAGCAAAGCTGCCTTTGATGCCTCTCACCATGTGGCTGTCCTTGACGGACTGATTTGTGGTTCAAGGCTTCCTAACATGGCTACAGAGCATCTGTTTTCATGTGCTTTTTTATGGGGGGTTTTAAGATGTGCATGTATCGGCTTGATATAAATATTCTTTTGGAAATGTTTTAATGACCTTATTTCTTTTTTATAGTTTGTAAATCTAAATATTTATGTCCATGGGGCAACTATATTTGCGCAATACATAATTCTGCCCTTCTTTGCAACACACCTTCTGCTTGAGGTTTCTTTCACACGTGCGTTGAGAATTTAATGAAAGCGCAATGTTGATTAACGCGCCTATAGTGTTTACAAGGCATTCGGCAGGTTTTTTTAGGTCATTAAGGAAGGGTCAAACATGCTTGCAAAATGCCTGCAAATAGTGGAGTGTTAAAGAGGAAGTGATGTAATAAAGCGAAATGACCAACTTTGAGGTGTTCTTGGGCTGTGGTGAAATGTGCAGGCATATTGTTGGTTTGATGTGCTGTGTATTGCTGCATTAATATAGATGGCACTACATGGTGGCATAGCTCAGGCTGTCACAGGTTGCAAGAAGCTGTCCTCTTGCTGGCAAAATTGTAGCTGTGTGCAGACAGGAAGTGGCATCTGCACCTGCTCTGTCCGCTCACTGTTTCTGGCATTGCGAAAACACCTGTGCAATGCTTCCCAAATGGCCGAAAAATGCTAAAGGCGCATTGACCGAGTGTTTAGGGGGCTTTTCAATATACTTCAATGGAGGCATTTGTCCAGCGGCAATGCCTCCAGAATCCAACATGCATTTTTTTTTTTTAACGCAAACGCCCATGTGCGAACTGCACTGGGCGGTTGCTATTGCATTATCCCACATGTGCGTTAATAGCCAGCAGAGACGCTTTAAAAGCGCTTCTCAAATGCCTGATTGTAGCACACATATGAAAGAGGCCTTACTGCTTCTTCCTTCAATGCAAATATGAGTTGGTCAGCTCATTAAAAACAGTGCCTTATCTGTGTGACTGATATCACCGGTAAAAAATAAAAAAAAGTGATGACATATTAAGGGGCTGATGTATAAGCCTTCTGCCCAGCTTTATGCTAACGTAGGTGAATACCATTCACACAACATGACCACCATTAGATGGCACCAAGGAGCAAGGGAAATTCTAGTGACAGTAATATTGTGCAAATGGCTGGCCCTGCTTTATGTTTGGCAGAAGGTTTCTACATTAGCCCCTATGCTCCTTCCAATATCAAAGCATAACTATATCCAACGTAGGCTTTTACTAGAGAACAGACGCTGGGGGGAATTCATCAAAACTGGAGCAGACCGAATATGGAGCAGTTGCCCACAGTAGTCAATCGGCTTCTTTCTTGGGTTTGTTCAGTTAAGCTTGAAAAATAGAAGCTGATTAGTTGCCATGAGCAACTGCTCCAGATTCTGTCTGCACCATTCTGTGAGATGCTTGCTGTAGCTTGTCCTATACTAATTACAATTAAGTAGGTTAAATATTCTGAACTTTTAGAAGGTTGAAATAAATTCCACCTTTTTCCTCTATCCAATGGCTCTTATCAATGGATACATGCTCCGTGTGTACTATATTATAGATAAATCATCTTTTGTTTTTATCTTTTTCTCCTCCAATCAACAGGCAGGAAAAGCATTCAAAAGTTTTCTCCCTTTATTTGACCGTGTCCTTGTGGAGCGGTTGTCTCAAGAAACTGTTACCAAAGGAGGGATTATGCTTCCTGAAAAAGCTCAAGGCAAAGTCTTGCAGGCAACGGTAGTAGCAGTCGGAGAAGGCTCTAAGGGAAAGGTAACATGAAGAGATGACTATCAAAGTTCTCAAATGTCTGAAAATTCTAGTTGTTTTTTCCTGGCAGATATTAAACTAGCTATCAGCATAATAGGTAGTACTGTTATATAGACTCCTGCCTTCTGAGAGGAGGTCTGCTTCTTGAGACCAACTCTTGTCCCTGTCTGTTCTCATCTCATATAACTGCAGCTCTTATTAGTGTAGAATGTACTGCGGTTTCATCATGGCACTTAAAGTCCTGTGAGTGATCACATCTTGCACAGTCTATAGGACATGAGGATACTGAGACATTCCATAGCAGGAGCTGAGGAGGAGGCTGCAGAAAAAAATAAGTTGTAAGATTGCTCCAAGGTATATCCATTTATTTCAAAGATTTTTCTTGTGAAATGTGTTTTGTAATTATACTCAGAATGAATTTGTATACACTATACTATAGTACACTATACTATGCTCAGAATGAATGTGTATACACTACTGTATCGGTGCATCCCTAGTATACACTATTCTATAGTACGCTATACTATGCTCGGAATTAATGTGTATACACTATTCTATAGTACGCTATACTATGCTCGGAATTAATGTGTATACACTACACTATACTATAGTACACTATACTATGCTCGGAATTAATGTGCATACTATATTCTATAGTACACTATACTATGCTCGAAAGGAATGTGTATACACTATACTAACATGTATTTTTGTTTTCCAGAATGGGGACGTTCATCCCGTCAGTGTAACTATTGGGGAAAAAGTATTACTTCCTGAATATGGTGGCACCAAAGTTGTATTAGATGATAAAGTACGTAACGCAAATGATAGTCATTCCTTCATAAGTAATCACGACTAATTAGCTGTACTAATACATTTCTTTTTTATTGTTTATCACAGGAATACTTCTTGTTCAGAGATGGTGACATTTTGGGGAAATATTTGAACTAAGGCTCTACAATGATGGTTTCTGAGTAATCATTCCAGACAATTTTGAGTTCATGTAAATAAGTACTTTAATAAATGTTAGAAAAACCTAAATCTCTGCAGTCTTCTTTTTATTCAAATGTTTCTTCAAGTTGTATTTCACTGAATTATTCTTATTTATTTATTTTTTTACTCGCAGACTCTTCGCGTTTCCAGTTACAGAATCTCCTGCATTGTTGTGTTTTGTATTTTCCATGACGGAAGCACTCATAAATGATTACATCTGCATCAGGTCATTGCATAAACTGCATTAAGGAAAGGGTAGATGGTTTTTGATCCAAAAGAGTGTTTATTGTTTTTTTAAAAACAAAAAACAGGAGCGTAGAATAGCAATTAATGCACGCATAGCCATGCACCTATGTAGCACATAATCCAGCCACATAAAGTGCATGATATCTTTAATACTGTGTACAGGCAGTCCCTGGGTTACGGACGTCCGACTTACGGACAATCCGTACTTACGAACGGGGTCCACGGTTATCCTAAATGTATTGGCAGCCGCCATGGTGATGCACATGTGATCCACTATGATACCAGCCATTTGAGGCGCTTCAAAGTTCAATTGAGAGCTGAAATGAGCACACTGGCAACCTTAACAGTAGCTGTTTAGGGAGACATTACATTGGTGGGTGAAGTTCCTGTTTTAAGGTGGTGACCGATTTCTTTCATTGCAAGTGCATATGCACTTGCCATTTTTCATTAGTACCTTTGCAAACTCTGAAATACCTGTTGATCCAGTCCACCATGCTTTCTGTGATGGAAGGGGGGGCACTGCTACTTCAAGGCACCATTATCCCTCATGTAGGCTGTGGCTGCTTGCACTACAGTGGGATAGAAGACGTATAGAAGACATTACAATCACAATACAATTCAAGACAGGATGGTAAGGAGGGCCCTGACCCTGAGGGCTTACAGTCTAATAGGGAGGGGCAAGTGATACATGAGGAGGTAGCTGTGTGGCTATGAATTGTTTGAGAATGTGATAGTTCGGTGGTTAAGTTGAGGTGGGATAGGCTTCCCTGAAGAGATGAGTCTTAAGGGATCGCCTAAAGGCAGTCAGAGTGTGAGATAGACGGACAGGTTGGGATAGAGAGTTCCATAGGATGGGAGAGACTCTAGTGAAGTCCTGGAGGTGAGCATGGGAGGAGTTGACGAGGGAGCTGGAAAGCAGGAGGTCTTTTGAAGACCGGAGGGGGCGGTTAGGGTGATGTGATGCTTTGAGACCAGGTTTGAGATACAGGCAGTCCCCGGGTTACACACGTCCGACTTACGGACCATTCCTACTTACGAACGGGGTCCACAGTTCTCCTAAATGTACCGGCAGACGCCGGTACATTTAGGAGAACTGTGGCTGCAGCGGCCTGTGTCCTTTCAACTCTCTGCGCCTGTGTAGGCGGAGGCAGCGGGGACACAGACCGCTGTATACCGCCGATGCCCCATGCTGATGTGCACGTACCTCCGGGCAGCCGTTCCGTCTGCTTCCCCGGTCCTGACGATTCATTGCAGGCCGGGAGGCACACCCAGCCTGCTATTGGCTATTTTGTAAAATGTAATAGCAAGCTGGGTTTTGCACCCGCCCACTGTCTGCTGTCAATCAGCGTGGGGGGACCTGATAGATAACTTTATGCTTCAGGCCCCTCTGCAATTTGAAATATCCAATAGCAGGCTGGCTATGGCTCCCAGCATTAAAATACAAAAAAAAATAAAAGTTTTAAAAAAATACAAAAATTGAGTTAAAAGACAAAATTGTAAAAAAGGAAAGAAAGTTAAATAAATAAAAATGCAAACAAATAATAAATAATAAAGTTTATAAAAATAGAAAAACTTTTTGCTGTCATTTTTAAATAAAAAAATGTTTAAATTATATTATCTTCTGAACAACAGGAACAGACAGCAAAAGAACCATGACCCTTCCCTATGCTATCCAAAACTAAAAAAAAATTTTTGCCGGGAGTTAGACTTAAAAAATGTACCCGTTCCGACTTGCATACAAATTCAACTTAAAGTGACATTAAACCCTCAGATGTTTTTAACATAAACCAATACTGTAATGTGTGCCTTACTGTAATCCATGATTGTTTCCCTTCTCTTTGCTGCTCTTCCTTTTAAATCCTCATGTCTTCTCATGCTGGACAGAACTTCCCTTTTCAGCTCAGGGCCTCTTCCTGTAGTGCTGGCTCAGATTACAAGCCTATGCAAACTGATACACAGACACCGTGTATCTATTCCTGAGACAAGGCAGTCTGCTGCAAAACAGAAGTTCTGCAGAGCATGAGAACAGATACAGATTTAAAAGGAAGAGCAGCAAAGAGAAGGGAAACAACCATGGATTACAGTAAAGCACATATTACAGTATTTTATGTTGAAAAATCTGAGGGTTTAATGTCACTTTAATTAAGAAGAATTTTGTGTCCAAAACTTGATGCTGCCTTCTCACAGGTCTCTAACAATGCAGACCTCTCCTTTTGAGAATTTCGACAACATTAAGGATTGCAAAGCTCAGGCAGTGCGGAGGAAAACCAGTTGTACCAACTCTCTCTAGCCATGGCCCCTGCTTTATCAGCATCATTCGTGCCTAGAAATGTTCATCTCTAGCCAGCTGATACTAGTCATTTGCCCCATAGTGCTCTAGCTATGCAGTCGAGCAGCAGTGACGCGACGCTCGGCGAGGTAAGTAAGAAGACGCGCTGGCGCTGACTCGAGTATAAGCCGAGGGGGGCACTTTTCACCCAAAAAAATGGGCTGAAAATCTCGGCTTATACTCGAGTATATACGGTACCTAAACCTAAAGTCCCTATCTTGTATGTAACCCGGGGACCGCCTGTATATATAATTAGTAAGTTGATGTGTCCTTTTGAGACAGATGGCACAGGAGCCCTAGAAGGGAAGACTTTTTTTCTAACAGAAGCTGGTCAGTCCAATCTTAGTGTTAGCAGGCAATTTTAAAGTGACACTGAACTCAGGAGTTACATTTTAAAAATGCATTCAAATACTCCTCCCGTCACCCTAAGCTCAGTAGCTCACGGTATACTGAGACCCCGCAGCTGAAGCGGATCCCGACAATTATGTCTGGATCCGCCCAGCTACGTGAGTGACAGAGCCAGGTGTACCCGCCCCTCCCCCATCTGTTCCGCCAGTCAGCGCTGGGGAGAGAGCCGTGACAGGATCGAGAAGTGAGCGAACGCCGGTATGTGTTCGCTCACTTCAAGATCTACTGAGCCGACCTGTGGTAGTCTCATTGTCACAGGTCAGCTAGCACTATGAGGTGAGTGAAAAGCACTCACCTCATAGTTCTCCTTTAACAAAAATGTATCTTATTGGTTTATCACTCGGCTGCAGATCCTCAAATCATCTCTGAATTGGTGCGGACACTGTTTTCCTTCGTGAGGGTGGCTACTTGTGTTCTCCATGGTCCCTGTGTGTACTGTAAAGTAGTCACCGCTCCAAGCTCGCTCACGTGATCGCCTACAATCTCATGTTTAGTTTACTCATTTGTATTGAGATTATAGTTCATCACGTGAGTGAGCTTGGAGCGGTGGCTACTTTACAACGCACATCGGGACCATGGGGAACAAAACAACTGTCTAAGATAGGATTTCCCCTTTCTTTGGAGAAATTTCCTATTGCTTCCTGCTGCATATTCAGTTTATAAAATGAAAAGGAAAGCTTCCCCAATGAAACACGGAAAACAAAACTACTCTATCCCCTTCTTAAGAAAATAATTTTACATTGAGTCGAAATACAACTCCTGGTCAAGTGTATCTTTTTTCCCTGCTGTAGGCACGCTGCTGTGTCAAACAGAAAACATAAAAAGGAATTTTTTATATAAAAGATGACCTGCCCAATTTTCACTGCACTCAACACACATAAGGCTGATATAGCGAGGAAGGCAGCTGCGCATTTTGCATCACTCCCGCTACGCTAATAGCGTATCTTCTCAGAAGCTGCACACTGCGCGCGTCAGTTTAAGTAGTAACCAGCACACGCTGTATGCAACTTCTAACAGCGTGGGAGACGGGAGGCTGCACTTGTTGGATCCAGGAATCAGGTGAGTAGTATTAAAAAAAAAAAAAAAGGTTTTATTTTATGTTCCCGGGGACATTTAAAAATGTCCCCGGATTTTATTTTTTTTCTCAAATGGTTTTTATTGAGATTTACAATACAGACAGTCATAAACACATAATTGTAACAACTGATGCCTGTTGTGACCAGGTCATACATAAACCACAAAACACAGTGCATTAAAAGTATCACAATAGTGGAGGAGCCTACTGGCCATCTCTTGAGTACTGCCCTTATTCAATACCCATCAGCTATCTTACAATTTCACCCGGTGTGCCATGTAAATGGAGCCCTGAACAGTTTGCCCCGATGGTTTAGATGCTATCTTATGAAGATCGCAGATGGCATTGTGTCGGTTGATACATACACAGTTCACTGATACATAGAACCGGAGCAGGCAAGTAAATCGGGACTCTAGTATGGTAGATGTGTGATACTAGCAACCATGGGACATACAGGACATGGGGGGACTCCGGACAACAGAAGGACACTAAGACATTGAAGGAACACACAGGAGGAGGAAGAAAGAGGGAAAGGGGTAAGGTTCCAGATCGTGACATTAAGTGGAGGAAGCACTCTGTATTAGGTTACAGCTGTAACCATAACCTCACATGTGGCATAGACGACGGGAGGTGGGTGATGTGACGGACTCCCTGATACCCCGACTGGATATCTCCGTCTTCAGCCTGCTCCCTGGGTGCTGGAACCAGAAGCGGTGACTATGACATGGAAGGCTTACTCCAAGAATCAGACAAGACTGACTTTGGAGTGAAACAACAACTGCTTTATTGAGGCCGAGCACACAGAATTTATATCTGACAAGATCAGATTAGAGTTCATTGTTACATGGAAGAGTTTCCTCCCCCAGACAGCTAGGTGCCGCATTGTATTGTCTTACTTAGAGAGGAGCTTAATCTCATCACTCTAACAATGGCCCCTC